CTGAGGGTGAGAATAGTTTGTCCCAAGGTTTTGACTTTTTTGTTGTTGTTTTTTCCTTTGTGTTTTAACTCTCTGCTTTGTTTTGACTTTAAAAAAAATGTTTTCAAGATAGTAACTTTGAAGTTTCTTTAAAAATTAAGTCAAAATTATATTGTAACTGTAGGACTCTGAAGACATTGCTTTATTGAGTCAGGTAAGATGAAGTCATAGAATATGTGGCTAGTGCATAGTGGGTGACATTTAGGTAGAATTCTTACAAGCAGGGGAGGAATGAAATTAGCTCTGATATAATGAGCATGCATGCATACATGTGTGTTTTGAGGCCAGAGAATAGCCTTGGGTGTTTTCCTCTGGCACTTTTATCTTTTGGGGGGGTGGGGGGTGGGGGACAGTGGTTAACTGCAAACAAGCTAGGGTTCTTGCTGGCCTGGAGCTCTGTAGCAAGCAGGCTTTTTTTTTTTTTTTTTTAAATCATGAACAGAGACTTATTCATTATGAAAGCTTGGGGTTAGGTTTGTTTATAACTAGCTCAACTTAAATTAACCCATTTCTATTCATATACGTGCTGTCATGTGACTTTTACCTATCCTCCTGCTTGCCTGCTTCCTCTGTGTCTGGCTAGCAACTAAGTACAACTTTCATTTTCCCTGAGACCTCTCTGTCACCAGAAGTTCCACCCAATCTCTTCCTGCCTAGCTATTGGCCATTTAGCTTTTTAATAAACCAGTCACAGTGACACATCTTCACACAGTGTGAAGGAATATTCCTTCCATTATGCTAACCAGTGGAGACAGTTAGCAACAGAGATTCCTGTCTTCATCTACTTTCTCAGAGTCACCCCTACCTAACCCTTGCTTTTTAATGGCCTGTAGGAATTGAACTCAGGTCTCTGTGCTTAACAATGCAAATGCTTTATGGACTGAGTTGTCTTCTGCTTTTGACAACTGGCTGAGAGATGGCTACTCTTTTCCTGTCTAAGGCTTTTTTTATCTTCACAGTAATGGTATTTCACAGGCATTTTATTGTGTCCTATAGTGAATAGAATAGTAGGAGATGGTTTTAAACAAAATGCATAAGTCAGATCATATTCCTGTTTACACATGTTAATATATGTATTATAAAGAATACTGACAACACACATACGTACACTCAATCCCTAAAAGTTGAGAAACCATGTCAAGTCTTAAATTGTAGCCTTGTTCTTTTAGTTATTAATACTTTTGTTTCCAGAAAATGTTTCCAGAGACGTGCCATTTTAGAAGAGAAACAAACAAACTGATCCAGGTGGTGGTGGCAGAACATACTTTTACTCCTAGCACTCAGGAGGCAGAGGCAGGCAGATGTCTGTGAGTTTGAGGTCAGCATTGTCTACATAGGGAGTTATCAGGAGAGCCAGGAGCCTGTGTTGAAAAACTAAACCAAACCAAAACAACAAACATGACAACAGTTTAAATGATAAAATGTGACACTATGAGACTGGTGTTATAATAAATTCTCCAATTACAAAATAACTAAATTTTGCTTTTTGAATAACTTGGATATATCTTTTAAAATACTTTTATGTACTTTGGAAAAGACTAGGTAATAAAATTCTATGAATTGAATTTAATGACCTGGTTTATGTGGGCCCATACTTTCTATAGTCGTGCTAATAGGGCTTACATTTCTTCTCTCTTTCTTATTTCCTTTTTTCTTAGACAGGGTTTCTTTGTAGCTTTGGAGCCTGTCCTGGAACTGACTCTTGAACTAGGCTGGCCTCTAACTCAGAGATCTGCCTGCCTCTGCCTTCTGAGTGTTGGTACTAAAGATGTGTGCCACCACCGTCCCGCTAAGGCTTACATTTATTACTGATTCTTTCTCTCCATCCCACCATCATTTTCAACCCCTGCCCAGACAAGCATCTTTTTCTTTTCAAGTTAGCATATAAAATAATGGGTCTTATTTTGGTATTTTCATATATCTGTATCATATTTTGTTTTGCCCCCTGTGTTACCCACCCTCATCCCCTTCTTCATTTCCTCCAGCTGCCTGCTGGAGTGCCATGCTTTCCCTGCTGTGATGAATTCTCCCTCTGGAACCTAAGCCACACTAAACTTTTCTTCCCTTAAGTTGTTTTTGGTCATGGTGTCTTATCATAGCAACAGAAAATAACTGAAATGACCCTTTATACCTTTTTCTTTTCTTTTTTTTTCTTTTCTTTTCTTTTTTTTTTTTATGATCACTACCTTTTAAGAATCAGGAGGGGGGTGGCGGGGAGAGACGGACGGGCACTGGAAAGATGGCCTAGTGGTTAAAAGCATTGGCTGCTCTTCCAGAGAACCTGAGTTCAATTACCAGCAACCACATGGTGGCTCCATAATGAGATCTGGTGCCCTCTTCTGGCCTGCAGACATACATGCAGGTAGAACACTGTATAGATTTAAAAAAAAAAAAAAAAAAAAACACAAAACAACAAAAACAGAAGCAGAAAGGTATATCACTTGGTGCTTCTGAAAATGAACAGACATTCATGATTTAAACATTTATCTTGGATGTATTTTATATCAGGTACCAGGGTAAAATCTGTGGGGTTAGCAAGATGACTCACTGTCATGCCAGATGAGTTGAGTTTGAAACCTGGGAACCAGATAGTGGAGGGAGAGGAGCGACTATCAAATGTTATCCTCTGACCTCCTTTGGGATGTCATGGCACACACTCCCACATACTTACACAGTAAGTTAATGTAATAAAATGCTAATTTGTGCTCCATAAAAAGTTTGAAGATCCCAGACAATAATTTTTGTTTTTAGTGATTACTTTTAATAGTCTGGTGAGAAAGACTTGACTAATTTACACTAAATATATAAATCCTGTAGCTCTCATTGTAGGATTTGAAGCCTCTGAGTTGGTGAGTATAGGGTATGCGTGTCTCTATGTGTACACACATATGTGTGCACAGGCTGTTGGGAGACACTCCATCCGGCCTTTGCATCAGTAGACACTGATTTCAGGTTGCATGATCAGGAACACACAAAACTGTTAGTGAAAATACTGGAGCCTCCTGGTGCTTCATGCTTCCGATTCTGATTTTTACTCGGTCACTGGGCTTTGCATATGACATAGTAAAATTACAAAGTGGGAAGATAAGATCTGCTCTTCATTCAGAATTTTAAATGTCACATATTTGGTGTCATCATCCCCACCAGATATTTTACACAGAACACAGCACAATGACATGTGAATAGCACTATGAAATGTGACACTGAACAATTAATGGGGGAATCTCCGATGAAATGAATCTTATAAATGACTTGTAGTTCCACCTTGAAGATCTGGACCTTTCTCAAACACAATTAAAATTTTATTAGACTTTTATTCAAATATATTTGAATAAAATACCTGCTGGGTGGTAGTGGCATGCACCTTTAATCCCAGAATCCAGGAGGCAGAGGCAGGCAGATCTCTGAGTTCCAGGCCAGCCAGAAGCTACACAAAGATACCCTGTTTCAAAAAACAAAACTCACCATGGCATATGTGTGTGGAGAATGTGTGTACACTTCTGCACCATGGCATGTGGGTGGAGATCTGAGGATAGCTTTGTGGAGTCAGTTCTCTCTGGGTTCCAAGGATTGAGCTCCAGTCACACAGCCAACACCTTTATTCTTGGCCATCTCTGAAGCCCAGATTTTCAATCTTTCTGGACATTTTAAGTTTATTCATGAGTGTGAAACTATGAGCAAAATGAATTTAGGACATTTTATTGTTGTATCCTGCCCCTGCCCCCAACATCATTGCAGTTAGGTGTCCTCTTTGTCCTTTACTACACAAATCACTAATGTACTTTGCGTTTCTATAGTTTTGCCTGTTTAGGACATTTTTGACATTTTATATTAACTAGTATCTTACTAGGTAGTCTTTTGAATGAGTTATTTATCTTAGTGTAATATTTTCCTATTGCTCCAATATTGTATCTAATCTAACTTTCTACATTCTTTTTGTGCTCAAGAACTATTCTGATGTATAAATGTGCAAGTATTTTTTTTTCAATCTGTTTACCAGTTGGTGGACATGGGTTCCCTCCCACCCTTAGTCTTCAGCTGTTGTAGATGATGTTTTAGTAAAGACCACATGCATTTGTTTACTGTGTCCTGGGTGTGGGGTAGGTTGGGGCAAGGCTTTGAGCAGTGGGTGGGGCTTCAGGCATCTCTTCTGGGAAGCATAGCAGCAGTTGTGGTGGATAAGTTCCCCCCCCATTATGCTATCATTTAACCTTTTTCACTCCCTTAAAGACCTTGTCTCCAAACTCAGGCTCCAATATAGTTGAACATTAAGGGACAGGATTGGCTTCAATGTATCAGCTAATTTGGAAGTGTTACACAGTTCAGCATACAGTGATTTTGTTCTCACACAGGCTACTTCAACTCTTGAACTCCACCACCCACATGCCCCAGAAAGCCACATGGTTAAGACAGGAGTGAAACAGAAAAGAGAAATGCAAATTCCTGGAGACTCTTTCCACTCTTTGTAGGGTCTGGACGGCCTCTCTGGTAATCACTGTGCTTAACGCAGAATAGGGGTCCTTCTGATGATGGAAGGGGACACTCATGAATTATGCTGGGAAGTAGACATAACCCGGAACTGCTGAGGGAAATTAGGATGCTGAGGGAAATTAGGATGCTGAGGGAAATTAGGATGAATGGTTTCACAGTTGACCAGCAAGAAGGAAAGATTGTCACAGACCTAGTTCCTTCCCTCTGGAGAGTTTTTGGGAGCCAGGAAGACAGATGTCATCTGTGACATTAGTCACAGGCCTTTTCTGTGTTTTTCCATATCATCATGCCCCAGGCCTTGACACACACAAAGGTATCTTTGAAAAAAGATGGTAGGCTAGCCAATGATGGTGTGAATTCCCGCATACACAGTTATGGGTTGTTGGTGTGAAAACAGTGGTCTAAATTAAGGATGACCTGTAAATTTTTCTAACATTTATTTGAGTTAAATGTTTTATTTCTTCCAGGGAACGACAAATCATTTTAACTTCAATGCATCCAAGACTGTCATCCTAGAACTGGGCTGGGAAGTGATAAGGAGCAAGCTAGATCATTTATTCATTTACTCTCAGATTTAAAAGGATTTGAAGAGAATATAAAATGGCAGAAGTTTAAAGTTAGCATTCAGGATGAATGATGATAACTCAGATAAGAAAGGAGATAAATTGCATCATATGTTTACCAGTGATAAAAACGGGAATACAGCTGAATACACAAAATCACCATCTACTCAGTGCCCTTCAACGAATCACGGGGTTTGGAATGCTGCTGACCCAGATGACATGGTGGTGGACTCTGTAATGGATCCTGCTGTGGACAGCAATGGAAGCATTTCTTTAAGCCATCAGCATGTTGAGCCTTCAAGTGATTTTATTGATAAGTCTGGGTTTGCAGTGCATAGTGATCCCACCCACCAGTCTTCTGCCCTCAGTACAACGAAGCCCCCAAACCTGCACAGCAACTTGGATTCCCTAGGGGCACTCCAGGATGAGAGATTTGAGCCCTCTCCTTCCTGTGTGTGCAAGTCTGATGGTGATTTTGACTTTGCAGACTCCCCTGCAGCTTTGGAGCTAAAACAGACATTGGACACAAAAGTGGACTCAATTAACTATACCTTTATAGCACATCATTCTATTGACCAGGGTCAGCCTTTACATAATCCTGGAGGTCTGCAGCCAATGAGTGTGAGAGGTGGAAGTACATTGTCCTGCTCCACGTGGACATCATCCCATTCCTCTAAGATACATGTGAGAGGAATTCATTATAATAGAGAGAGCATTGAAAACCTTGAAGCCCCACCCTCGGAAGTTCTGAACACAACCTACACAGTATGTTCTGATGTGCCGATGCAAACCGATAGTGTAGATGTTAGAATTCAGTGTCAGTATTCAGGAAATGTCACCAAAGAGTACACAGATGGGACTGAGCAAGGACTCATTGGAGAGAAAGAGATACAAGCTGTGACACCAGTTTCTGGTGGCATGGAGGTTCCCAATGGGTCTGTATTACAGGAGTTCTATTGTGTAGCTGAAGATGTACAAAACAGTGAGACACATTCACACGGCTCATATGGTCAACAGGAAATGGGCCAAAATCTAAGAGAAACACTGTCCAACTGTCGTGTTGATGATGAATGCCCTTTACTGGTGCCAGCTTTTGATAAAAGTAAAACCAGAGTCCTGGATTCTGAGTGTAAAGTCACTATGACTGAAGACCCACACATTGCTTTTCATGACCATGACTCAGAAATCCAAAATAGTACTGGAGAGCCGACCCTAAGAGGTGTCCCAGGGCAGAGGTTTTCGTTGTGTGAAATGGCTTGGGATGGAAATGGTAGAGCTGTTAGCACAAATAATACAGCTTGCACATCATCATCAACACCAGTTCAGGAAACCCCCAATATAACCCTTACACTTTCACCTGTTGAAGATACAGAGATGTGCAATCATGTAGAGAATGGTCCAAGAGCAGCTAAAAATGAACCAGACTTGAAAGATAAGCCAGTGAATATGTCAAAGCCTAATCTGGGAAAATTAGCTACCAAAACTTATACCACCACAGGCACTAAAGTTAGGAAGACAGAAATCATAAGTTATCCAAGACCAAACTTCAAGAACATTAAAGCCAAAGTTATATCTAGATCAGTGTTGCAACCCAAAGACCCTTCTTCCCTAAGAAAGGACACACCCAAAACTCAGATTGCCGGAGTCTCCTCAGCCCAACCAGTGCCTTCTAAGCAGTTGACAGTTGTGAACAAAACAGCAAGATCTGACTTTAATGCAGACAAAAAAGCAGAACTCCTAATTAAGAAGACAGACAAGCAACAGTTTAATAAACTCATTACCAGCCAGGCTGTGCATGTTACAACTCATTCTAAAAACGCTTCACTCAGGGTTCCAAGAACAACATCTGCCACGAAATCAAATCGGGAGGATGTTGACAAGACAGGTTCTTCTCATGCATCGGGTGAAACTGGGTCTGTAGCTGCCTTTTTCCAGAAGATCAAAGGTATCCTCCCAGTTAAAATGAGAAGTTCAGAGTGTTTGGAAGTACCATATGCTTCCCACATCGATCAGATTAGCCCTGAAAAGGGTGAGAAGGAGAGCGGGGCTGCAGTGGTAAATCAAGAGCTGGGAAAGCCTGACGTGAACGAGATTTTTGAATGCAAGTCCCTGTTTGCGGTAAGTGAAAACTGCTGTCTGCTTCTAGGAATGGGGAAGAAAGCTGCTGTATTAGCAACTTGTTACCTATTAGTTGCTAATAATATCACTGAACTTGGCTCATCATTTGTATTCAGAGTACTCTTTATCTTGTTAGCCAGTATGGAGTGTTGGTGATTCAAAATACAATGGACTTCACATAGTGAAAAACTTAGTAGTTTCTTGAACATGGGTGTAACTTTTTGATAGTGTTTTAAAAGATCAAGTTGATGTTTTTCATACATTTTGGATATTTGAAGTGAAATAGCTGACATCAGGTTACATTTTATTTTTCTTAAACAACAACAAAAGAAAACAAAACAAAACATAAATGGGTTAGAAGCATGCAAACCACAGTTCAGAAATGGCTAGGGGGTGCTGGTAAACATCTCAACATACACATCACCCCTGGTATCTTGTAGGAGAAAGTAGCCCTGGAGGCAGAGCCTATTCTCCTAGATTTGTGAGTCTACTTCTACCAGCTGTGTGACTCAGGTCCCGTAGCTTTGCCACAGCCAGAAGGGAAAGGATTGGGGTATTGGGTGTGTAAGGTCACCTGCAGGCCATTTATTTGTTTTGGTTTCTAGTGCATGAAAGAAACAAATCCATACGTAATAAATAAAGCAGTATGTCTTCAATAGCACCTGCCAAATCCTGAAGGGGACCAGATAGTTACTTAGAAAATCAAAGCGTTATGTACAGTTCAAAGCTTATTTTTCTTTAAACATGTACATGTTTTTTGACAAAAGTATGATCAAACTCCTTTTCAAAACATTTGCCAGGCTGCTGTTGTGTATGTGACCCTAGCTCTATTTTTGGCAGTGGAGACTTAGGTGTATTTTCAGCCCCACACAGACTGCCCTTGAAATGCTTGTCCTCTGGACGGGGAACAGATCTGCATGCAAAGGAGGAAGATAGACATCTTTGGGGACTCTTGTGTAGGAGGAATGAGACACAGCACGGTTAAGTACATGAGCTTGGTTTGTTTCAGATTACTTATCAGGTAATGCAGGAAATGTCTAGATGACAAACACTGTAGATACTCTTAACCTGGGTCAGTTTACAGATGTTTGGCTTCGTCAGTAACTCTCTTGGTAAGGATGGAATGCCACAGATTTCTAAACAAATGGGCTACTATATTGTTTTAGGACACAGATTGTTCAAGTTTTTTTTCTGCCTAATTAAAAATCTCTGATCACTTAGAACTGAAATATAGCAAATAAAATTACAATAAACTCCCAGTTATAATCAATAGTCTTAGGTGGTTGTTTATAAATATTCACAGAACCAAGATATTTTTTCCTTCACTTGTAGAAAGTTTGGTTACCAACATGTAGCCAGCATGGCTTTGAATTCAGCACACCATAGCTCAGCCTTGTCATGAATTTGAGGTCCTCTTGCTTAGCAGCCTTAACACTAAGATTAGTTGTTGACCAGCATGACTAACTTTATGAGAGATGTTTACTGACGTGTGGATCCCCAGGCCCAGAAAAAACTAGCATAAAGTTTGTTGAACTTTATGGTCTTGAATGTAAACTGCTGTGTAGTTCTAAAACTGGAGAGTTTGGGTTTTCTTTCCTTATCTTTCCAATCTGGTATCTGCAGGCCCATCATGTGGTATCGAGGTGAGGCCATCGGGTGAGATGAATGCCAGCGGCTTGCCCTTTAGCAATGTTGCAGTGAGGCCTTAGCGTTAGAATTAGCTATGAAGTGCTTTTGTAAGGCTGTAAGAATGGTCCCACAGTCTCATCACTGGGACTTTTACCTGCCTGCTAGAATAAAGAACTATGCTTCTGTGACCGTCTCGCATACAGTAGTGTGTCCTAGTTTGTCTAATTCAACTCTCACACATTTTAGCCTTAGGAAAGGAGGTATGAAGAGGCCAGATGGACCATGATAGCCACAGGCTGGGGCTTATTGTAGAATGCTAAACAAGTGAACTCACATGCATTTTTTGTTGTTGTTAATCAATCAATTCAGTACCCAAGGGCTGTGTCTGCCATAGAAGGATAGTAATTAGTATTATCATCTTTTTTTCTTTTTCTTCTTCTTCTTCTTTTTTTTTGTAGTAAAATCACTTTATTTAAGGCTGCCTACCACCTTATGGTGGTTTGTTGATCTAGGTTCACCTGAAACTTTGGAAAAGGATTTTTTTTTGTTGTTGTTGTTGTTTTATTTTGCTTTTTTGTTTTTTGGGAAGTGATTTGATTTAGACTGCTATAGAGGGTTAAAAGTAGTTCCCATTGTAGAGGTTATGTGTTCAAGGTAGCATGTTAAAGGGAGCTGTTACATAAAGGAAAGATGGACTCGGGTGCCTTTCTTATAGCCTGTCATTTAATTGTCCCAGTATATTCAGGGCTTACATCCACTGTTCTTTTCAGCAGGTTAGCTGTTATCTGTGGTTATGCTTCAGAGGGTTTGTATCAAACTCACAAAGCTGCAAAGGAAACAGATGTTCAAACTCAGGTCCCTTGTGTCTCAGGAACTTCAAAAATTATCAGAATGTGGGATGTGAAGGTAAAATAATGATTTGTGGAAGGTTCACTCTCCAATGTCAATGTGACCTGCAGCAGCTGTCTTGGGGCACTAGCTGTTAGGTTAGTATCAATTTCACCTAGTGTGTGGATCCAACAGCCATTGGTGTAGGACTTTACATCTATCTATTTGAAACAATCATCTGTTTAAACAAAGAAGGGCCATGGTAAGGAATATGCAAGCCTGAGCTTAAGAGCATGAAATTTACATAATTTTAAATTTGTGGCTTCATCATTCACCACAAAGTGGCTTCCCTATGAGGCTCAGTTTTTCTCTATGTAATGTGTAAAGGGAGAAGGAAATTGTAGTTTATAGTGTTAGAATTTGTGCCTTGTGGTGATACATTGTTTGATCTAATAAAGCTGCTGGAGATCAGTTTGCAAAGCCAGCCACACTAGTTATAGAAAATAGACAGTGGTGGCACACACCTTTAATCCCAGGACTCAGGAGACAGGCAAATGGATCTCCCTGAGTTCAAGGACATCCTGAACTACACAAGAGTAAAGAGTAACAGAGCTCATGCCTTTGATTTTTAGCACCAGAGAGGTACCTGGAGACAGGAGTGATATGGCTAGGTGGAGAAAGGAATAAAAGGAGGAGAAAGGAATTCAGAGCCTTTTTGCCTCTGAGGATTTGTGGACTTTGAAGTAAGACTTAGGCTCCCATTTCCTTACCTGTACAGTGGAAATATTTGTTGGTTCCTTATTGTGCATGCCACATAGAATAGCACTTGTTAGGGTATAGATGCAGGCAGCTTTGGTCCAAATGTTTTACTTAGTCCAATGGGATGGTCAGAAAATAAGCCGCCGCCAGGGCATACATACTGAGTTATGAGTATAACTCCTGTTACAGGAGATGAAAATAGTGGCAATTAGAAAGATTATCGAGGGAAACTTCTGATGAAAATGCTATAACTTATAGGGCATGCATTCTGGGCAGAGAAAACACCAAGTATAAAGGCGAAAGATCGTAGGAAGATATTCTAGTGAAAGGGATGGTCAGGAAGAGGTTGTGATGGAAATAGGGAATGAATGAGAGGAAGATCATGACAAGGCTGCCACATCCTAAAGGGTTTGATGTGACTTTAAAAGAGTTACATTAGAGAAAGGTTTTTGTGTTGGCAGAATATTTGAAGATGTCTTGCAGTGGTGCTTTGGTTTAACTGAGGGCTGGATGACCAATAGTTAGGCAGGAAGTATAGGTGGGGCTTCCAGGAAAAGAAAGAAAGGGTAGAAAGAATCTAGGTACAGAGAAGAACCAAGAGACACAGAGAGACACAGAGGTTCAAGATACAAGAGAGGTAATGTCATGTGATAGAATGTAGATTAATATAAATGGGTTAATTTAAGTTATAAGAACTAAGCTATAGGCTGAGATTTCATAATTAGTAATAAGTCTCTGTGTGATTATTGGGGAGCTGACTAGCAGGACAGACAGGAAAAGACTTACATTTTTGTAGAAGCAGCAGAGGCTGGTGAGACCAGACGGATCCTGAAGACTTGATTTATTTCAGTAATCCTTTTGAGAAATGAGTCTGGCTTTTATAGGAAGGCAGGTAGAAAAGTAGGTTTAGGAGGTAAGAAAGGAAGCAAAGACACATGGCTTTCATTGTTTAAGATGGGCACCTGGGTATGTTAATAAGAGATGGGGTACAAATTGTGAGATAGATAGGTAAAGCACATGGAAGTGTTCTGTTATTCCTTAGAATGGGATATGTCTTACTTAGGGTTTCCCTTGCTGTGAAGAGACACCATGACCATGACAACTCTTATAAAGGAAAACATTTAATTGGGGTGGCTTACAGTCCAGAGGTTTAGTCCATTGTCATCATGGCAGGAACCGTGGTTGTGTGCAGGAATATATGGTGCTAGAGAAGGAGCTGAGAGTCTTGCATCCTGATCCACAGACAACAGGAAGTGAACTGAACCCAGCATAGGTTGAACAGAAGAGACCTCAAAGCCGGCCCCACAGATACACACTTCCTCCAGCAAGACCATACCTAATTTAAACAAGGCTACTCCTTATGAGCTTATGGGGGCCAATTACATTCAAACTACCACAGAGTATGACTGATAAATCTTACTGGGTTATTAAACAGATTTAAAATAGTTAATATGTGTTTAGAATTTAGAATGGAAAACCACCATAGAACTATCTGTACTTCAACTGGAGTTACATCTGAAGGAGTGTAAGTCACCCTTACCACAGAGATACCCAAACATCTATGTTTACTGCTTCGTTATTCACAGTAGCCGGGTATGGAACAAGCCTAGATGCCCATCAGCAGATGAGTGGTTCATATACACAATAAAACTTGAGTCATCTATAAAAATTAATGCAATTGTCTTTTATTACAGACTAGGTAGAACTAGAGATCATCATGTTAAGTCAGACTGAGAAACACATACTTTGTTTCATACACATAATTCATCTGTCTTTTATAGTATATATGCATGTGTACATGTAGATACATGTGTGCAAGTGCATACCTTGAAAATAGAGGGACTCTGAAAATAGTGGACTAAAAGAAAATGGAAAATTGGGGACTAAAAGGTGACAGATCACAAATCATATTTTGTCTTGTGTGCCAGTTTAAATATGTGTGTGTGTGTGTGTGTGTGTGTGTGTGTGTACACACCTACACACACACACATCCATGTGATGTGAAAGTAGAAGGCAAAATTTTGAGGAGGAAAAGGCAGGGGAGATGGATAAGGAGTAGTGAGGGTTAAATATAAATAAAATATAACTGCATATGTGCAAAACTGCCATATTTTTGTATGACATAAAACTCAACATTTTGTAAGCTAGCTAAAAATTAAAAAAAAAATAGAATGATATTTTGCATAGTTAGGGCTCTGTTAGAGAGTGCCAACAATAATAGGATCATTGTTCTTGTTGAGTAGAAAGATCTCAGTGAGGAGGCCCAGACAGAAATTAAATATGGGGGCAACTGAAGGGGAAAGTGTTGGCTTGGGAGTGTGGATTTTGAGTGCATCAGTCACAGGTGGAACAGCAGAAAAACTCTGCAAGGTGAGTTCATGGTGAGGGAAGAGAACGAGACCAACCTGAAGCCCCAGTGAGGACTAGCCTTGAAAGGTGCCAAAGGATAGGACCCAGAGAAAGAATAACCAGACAGCTAAGGGGAACTAGCTAAGGGCCTACTATCCACAGAGTATTGCCGAAGTCAACTTGGGCACTGGAAATCAATTCCACTAATGTGTCTGAAGATAGATCAGGACAAATTGAAGTCAGTCTTAATTGTTCATAGTAAGAATGGTATTTAAACACAGTCATGGAGACAGAAGATTTCTCTCACAGGGATGACACCACAGGGATGGTGTGGTGAAATCATGGTGAGACTAGAATCTTCACTGTTTTTTTCATAGGGTTCTGCACCCAAAACTGCCACCACCACCTCAGGAAGGAACATTTCCAAGCCGGACACCTGCAGCCTGAGAAAATCACCAGGTCTGAAAGCCAAAGTGGGACCTGCTGTTTCCTGCCTGAGAAGGAAGAATGACAGTAGAACCCTGGGCTCTGACAGAGCCATATCGCCTCAGAGGATCAGGCGTTTGTCCAGTTCTGGTAAGAATAAAGTAACTCAACTATACTCTTTTATGAAGCACTCTATGGATGATTTGCATGTAAAATTGGGCTTGTCAGAAAGCAGAAAGTCTATCTGGTTTTTAGAACAAATGCATGATATCACTAAAGCAGCTAGCTTTTTTTTTTTTTTTTTTTTTTTTTTTTGTCCATCAGCCTGCTCAGGAAAGACAGGAAGTCCTTGGAGACAATGCAGCCCTTACTTTTGACCAATGAAAAGCTTCTTTGGGGAGTGGCTGGCATGCATAAACTTCCAGGCTACATAAAAGTGAGCATGTATGTAACTGTGCAGTAGGCTAGCTGTTGCAAACATTGTGATGATCTTGGTTGTCAGTCTGACACACCTGGGAAGAAGGAACCTCAATTAAGGAATTGCTTTCATCAGATTGGCTTGAGGGCATGTCTATAGTGCATTTTCTTGATGGCTAACTGATGTAGGAGGAACTATTACACTGTGGGCATACTGAGGCAGGCAGGCCTGGGATACAGAAGAAAGGTACCCGAGTGTGAAACCTGGGAGCAATTCCAGAAAGCAGCATTCCTCCATGGCTCTGGGTCAGTTCCTGATGTGACCTCCCTCAATTACAGACTGTGACCTGGAAGTTTAAGACTCTGTCTTAGAAGAAATTGGGAGGGGGCATGTAAGATGACTCAGGGTGCTGACTTCCAAGCCTGATGTCCCAACTTGATCTGAGGATTCCACAGAGTAGAGAGAAACCAACTCCCATAAGCTGTCCTCTCACCTTTGGGCATTCACTCAAGCATGCATGTTCTCTTTCTCACACACATTCAATGAATAAATGTAATAAACGGCTAAGTGCTTAACATGCTGGAACATTTTTTTGAAGGTTCATAATAAACCCCCATCACATATGACGAGATTTTTTTTTTTTTTTTTTTTTTTTTTTACCCCTTTGAATTTTACTGAAAGATGATACAGGGATAGGAGAGCAGCAGCTAAAAAGTGAAACTTTTTTAATGTGAACTTCAATTTACCTTGGCTTGGCTTTTAGAAGTTCAAGTTCTAGTTGGATTAGGCTGAAATTTGATAGTACCAAGAGTGGCCTTACTGAATTTGGCAGATGTACAGATTGCTTTGTGTTGGGAGCTGGGACAGCAAGTGAAAAATTCATCCCTTTCTGAGACTAAGATGAACAGCCTGCTTAGTCACCCAGTGGGCTGAGAGAATTCCGTGGGGTTACACCCCTTATTTATGCAGGTACAGCCTTGAGCAAATTAAAGGCATGTCAGGTGGATCCCTCATTAAAAAAAAAAAAAAAATACTACCATTGAATGTTAAGGAAAAAAAATGTGCCTCTAAAGTGATGTGTCCCCACATGTGAGAATGCTTTATAGAATCTATAAAACCCGCTGGGTCCTGGACAACCTCTTTGCTGCGCGGCAACTTAGCATTTTTACAATGGACTTGCCTGTTCCATCTCATATCTGCTGGCGTGAGATGCCAGCTATGCTTGAACACGTGCTGTTTAGAATCTTGGTTAATGTCAAGGTCATGAGTATGGAGGAGCAGACCCCAGATGATGGGGGAGAAGAGGGATTTGCCTCTTGCTTTCATTTCCAGGAGGAACTGAATGAACAGAGAAATGTGTCCCCGTTGAGTGTTCATCATTTGGGAGGGAAGTAGAAGAGAAGCTAAAATGTGTGGGGGAGCAGTGGTCCTTGTCTTCCATATTGTCACCATTGGGAGTCAACCGAGTTCTGGTCCTTGTTGCTGCTGCCTGGTGGGGCTCTTGGTCTTTGCCAGTTGCTGGCAAGCTCCCTTCCTGCTTCGACATTTGGAGCACCTGGTACCTGTTGCCATATGGAGCTCTGGTCACTGGTACCCTGGCCTGTAGTTAGGGCCCTGTGTTCTGTCTTCCCGTCTTCCCTCTGGCACCACTGAGCTGCCAAGCCTGCCTGGCAAGCATTTCCCTCTCTTGGCCTGGGCACTTGTCAAGTGCAAGCGTTTCAGAATCTTAGACTCCAACAGCTTTTGCAGTCTTGTTTTTCTAGGGTTGATATGGAACTCTCCTAGTTTTCTGAGAAATGGCTGCTACTGGCGTGATTATGGGAGTGATGTCATACTTGCATACTTACGCACACATGCCTTTGAGAAGTCAGGTCCCCACCGGGATCTGTTTAAACAGGTGGAATTCTTTATGGAGCTGATCAGTCCTTTTGAAAGTTCCTTTACCATGTGTTATGTATATTGTGTCTTAAGAGAAATGTAGACATGTTAGTCTAAAGATTCATTTATTTTTATTTTATGTGGGTGCTGGGAATTAAACCTAGGTGAGCTTGGTTAGAGTTAAAAACAAACCCTAAATTATAGATAATATATTAACATTAATATTAATAATATTAATATATATGCTTTATTAGTGATATTAATAATTTACTATATTTTTTTTCTGGAACTTTGCTGTGTACCTCAGGCTATCCCTGAACTTACAGCAATTCCCCTCCCCTCTTCACTGAGTACTTAGGGTACGGGCATGTGCCACCATGCCCAGTTACTTGGCAATTTTCTATATATAGGGGTATAAGAAAGTAGAATGTAACTATTTTGTTTTATTTTTGTGTGGTTAGAAGACTTCTATGAACTGAATGCTGCATCGCCCTAAGTTGAAATGTGGAAGCCCTAACTCTGGAGCTGGGGCCTGTGAGGAATCACACAATCAAGAGAAGCCATAAAGATGAGACCCTAGTCTAAACCGATTTGGAGGAAGAAATACTGGAGGTGTAGCTCAGCCCTATGAGGCCCCAAAGAAAGGGACCATCTTGAATCCAGGAAGAGACTCTTACTAGGAGCAATTTAGCCAAGACCTTGGTCTTGGGGGCACCTCAGCCACTAAAAGTAAGACAAAATAAATTCCTGTTGCTTGGGTCAGGCAGTTTGAGGCGCTTTTTCTGGTTAGCTGAGGGAAGACAGAAGACTTAACTCGGTTGTACAGGATGCTGTTTAAAAAATTAGTGACTAGGACTGGTTTGGAGAGTCACCATAAATTGAGAGGTGTTTGTTGTGGAGAGTAGGAAATGTAATACGGCTGAATTCAAGTTAGAACTGAGACTCCAGGAGCAAGAACAGTGAGCCTTTACATCACTGAGAGTCTTTGCCCTTTGCTGTACAATGAAGTGTTTGTGTATTCCCACACTGAAACCAAATGGATGCCACTGTCATCTCCCACACTTGGGGATGGGAAGGTAAGTGGCAGCGGTCTGCCAGCTAGCATGGGGTTTCCAATGACTCCTTTCAGAAAACTAAGCAGAAAGTCAGACCCAGAGTCAGAATAGCATTTTAAAAAGAGCTTCAGACTGAGTATGAGAAAGAACACAGTTAAACCATTGGGGTGCTTTCGTTTCACTTGCCAAATGTGGAAACTTACATATGATGCCAGAGTATAAAACAATATGAGTCAAACCCAAGCACTTTCCCTTCTTCCTAGTGTGGCTTTTGTTATTGATGGCGGTTCTAGAATTGAACCCAACACGCCCACCGCCGGGCCTTGAGCATGCTAGGCAAGTGCTCCACAACTGGACCAGATCCCCAGTTCTGTTTTGCTTTCTCTTGTTAATGAACTCAATTAAGTATGATTAGATAATGATGGAAATTTTCGCAACAAGTTTTATAACGCTGATAACCAGCTCACTCAATGAAATGCATGCCAATCTCTAGGCCTCTAACTTCCATCATTTCACGTCTGAGTTTACTTAACCCTTACAATGATTTCCCAGCTTGTAAACTAGGAAGCTGACACTGCTAAGCTAAATGACATACTGAGGTTTGCAACTGGGAAGGGCAGAGTGGGTCTCAAACCAGGCATTGCCACCCTCATCCCCAAGTTCAAGGACTTAACCTGACATTGTCACTCTAAGGAAGCACATCTTTAATCCCAGCATTTGGGAGGCAGAGGCAGGCAGATCTCTGAGTTCGAGAGGCCAGCCTGGTGTACAGAGCAAGTTCCAGGATAGGCTCCAAAGCTACGCCGAGAAAGAATCCCTGTCTCAAAAAACAACAAACAAAAATTAAATAAGTAAATAAGTAATAGGAAGCTCCATTGGACCCTCAGTTTTGAACAAGTTAAAAATTGTTTGTTCCCAGCTCAATGGTTTAGAGACTGCTTCCTTTTTAGACCTGGGTTTGCTGTGGTCTTCTCAGCTTTCTGCAAAGTGCATTCCTTTACAAGGTCATTGAAAACTGATGGCCAGAGGGGGAGGTGTCAGCCAGGAAGCTGGCTGTGCAGTGCTTAGTTCTGACTTCTACAGAGATTCATGCACCAGTCCATTTAGTAGGACTGATTTGGGCTACTGAGGCCAAGCTTCTCTGGGTAGTATAAATTGTCCCCTCCGAGTCCAGCCTGAAGCAGGATGGGACACTCTCTGACCCTCACCTTTATCTGAGCAGGGAAAGCCTGGTCTACCCTCCTGCCTCAACCAAAAGCCACTCAAAGGGCTGTCAAGGGGTAAGCGAGACATGCAAGAGACAGAGAAATAGCATTTGGGGTGAGTAAAACCCTCATTTTTATTTGGCTTACTTGGGTTAGTGCATCCCTTTTGAGATGGCAGTACATCCAGAACTTGTCATGACTTGCCTGTTGTGGATTTTTCTCCTTTCTCATTCATTTGGACAACTTACTGGTTTATATAAACAGTTTTTTCATTTACTCAGCGTTTAAAATCTTTAAAAATTTTATAGTATTTTCTGAGTTTGAGAGAGGCAGTAAAAGTAGAAAATTTCTCACGTTCAGTAGTTATAAAAAACTAGAAATTATCACTGCTAACAGTCTTATTATATATTTGTAAGTAACTATATCACACATGCGTGTGTCCAGGACTGGGGAGTATTATGATGTAGTAGGCACTATGCTAAGCTTTCTGGTGTGTTTGCTCACAACTCATGAGGGGTAGACATAGTGATTTTCCCCCCTAGTCTCTAAATGAGCATCTGAGGGTTTGCAAACTCAAGTAACTACCAAAATTAC